TAAAGTGTAACCGGGATTGGACATCCAGTTGACACTTGACACCGAATTGAAACTCAGCGGCAACAAAGAGTAGAGGTGAATTAGGTTAAAGGTTAGAACCTACAAAGTGAAAATGTATAATGTGGGCTTACTTGGACTTGGACCAACCAATACTAAAATGTTAGTACTAACCAATTAGCTAACTAGCTTGTCACCCTTATATGTCCTTTCTGGGTTTGCTATTCAGTCGATGTGGGATTCTTAACAAGTGTAATTAAAAAGATTAAAGGTATCTAGAGGTGCTTTCTTTTGGGCACATGACTTGAAGGTGAAATGCTATTAAATTGGGTGGCATGAAAGACCATTGTAATGGGTAAATGTAGAGGAGGCCTCGGTGTACAAGATTGTAAAAGAAAAAACTTTTCTCTTCTCAATAAATGGTGGTAGAGGTTTAAATCAAAGAGGGGATTTTTATGGAAAAAAAGTCTTAGAAACTATCACTTGTTTGGAAATAGATAGTTTCTCTTAGTAACAATTCATCTCCAACATCAAATTTCATGAATAATGGCTTCCATTGGACCTGGGTACCGTAATCGCATTAAATTCTAGGGCTCTTGGACATGCCTTTAAAAATAGCCTTCCTTGCCTCTTCAGAATATTATTGACCCTAATTTCATCACTAAGCTTTAGAAAATTCTGCCACGATACCAACGGCATGAGAATCAGCTCAATCAAACACTGTTCAGACTATGAACAGGCATCCGGAAGCAGGAAAACACAGAAATCAGACTAAAAGGGTAAAAGGGTCATTTCTGCCCCACCAGCATCGGTCTCCTTACCGTCGCCATTGGTAGCCTCCTAGTCGGTTCCGATTAGGCAGCATGACACCAGACCAACTGGTACCGACGCTAGGACCCCCAGTGCCAACGGAGAGCCTACTGGTACGATCCCAACCTCGGGCAACCCCAGTCTATAAAATTAGCACCCCCTCCAATTTTTGACACCTCTTGTTGCTTTATCGACCACTTTTCAAGCTTCAACGATTCTAATTCTCCCTTGTTTGAATGATTCTAAGGCCTTACAATTTGATTTTTGCTGTTTTTCCTTAATTGAGCCAAAATGCGACTTGGTTCTCAAAAGTCGATCCTTTTGACTTTCACATACACTTTGGTCCTTCTTGGTCCAAAGCTAATTAATTAAATTAATATAAGATTAAATTAGGTCTTCGTGCCCATCCTTTGCTTATTTGGAGAATGAGTCGATTTCTTTGATTTTTTATCACCTTGGAGCTCCGCAACCATACATTTGCACCATCTGACCTTCAAACCCTCATCGATCTAGGGTATAAAATATAAATTCAACTTTGTCAATTAAGCCCGGTCCATCTGACACTCAAAATGTTTTAAGCCCAGTCTGGCTGGCACACCATAGAACCATGCTTTTCGAACTAAGCTCAGTTCATCCGGCACACTTTAAGCCCATTCTAAGAATGGCACGCAAAATCCTACCGTCTTAATTGATGTTAAAACTTTGTGTGCCCTGATCCTCATACAAACGAGGTACGAAGACATATTAAGGATTTCATCCTAGGTAGCAGGGCCTTACTGAACAGACCGGTCAGGATCTTCGGGAATATGTCATACAATCTAGAATTCTCAATAAACAAGGCTGGAGTCGGGCTCCCCCCCCTAAATTACACTTTAATTGAAATTATTCTCTCAATGCTTTGTCAATATCACTATTATTGCTATGCATCCAAGTATGCTTATGCATCGATAATCTAATATTCATGCAAATAATGATTTTGAATACGCGATTAATTCCAAACCGCTAATTCTACAAAAAAAGCTGAAAACCTAGTCCCCGAACCCAATGATTTGAGGCTAGTTCATTCATCCTTGTGGCAAAACTAAAAATGGAGTCAAACATGAGATTTTTACCTTATAAAAACACATCACACACCTTTCAAAGAGCTCCAAAGAACCGATCAGATCACTCAAGCATTATTTAAGCCATAAAAACGAAGCGGAATTGTAAGGAGTTCTCGCCAGTCCGTGAGAAACTGACCAATGGTCCTATCTGGATTGACTTTATCCTTCGTATCTTTCCCATGATGCTCGGCAAGGGCCTCACACTTATCTTTAATAAATCAACATTTGTTTATCATTGTGGCTTTTTGATTGATGACAAATGGTGTTGGAATATTGATTGGAGATGAGATTTTATACCTTTTTTAAAGAAATATGGAACCAATAAAACCCATATGGATGAAATTTCAATTGCACAGGGTATGGAGGACAGGATCGTGTGGATTTTTTTAATAAAAAAGGTACATTTACAACTAGGACTTTTTGCTCTCTTTTGAGAAAAGGGATTTGGGTGACGTGGCTTGTATTTTCAATCAAAAAAATATCTATGGAATTCCTTCTTACCATCTCAAATCTCTGTGTTCGCTTGGAAGTGTTTCTTAAACAAAATTTCAAGTAGGCTTAATCTTCTCAAAAGAAAAATTCTTTGTCACTTGATGATTATTGTGCCCTTTGTCACTTATATTATGAAGACTCAAATCACATTTCGTCTCTTGTTCAACAAATATGGTATTTTGAATTCTATATTGAATTGGTTAGGTATCATTAGTGTTCTTCATTGTAAAGTGGTGGACCTAGCTTGGCAATAGGAGATCTTCTTCTCTTTAAAGATAACACCTTTATTTAGATGGTAATTTTCTTTGTTGTTTTATGGTTTATTTGGTGGAGGAGAAACTATTTAATTTTCAAAAAAGAAATGATTGAAGATGAAAAGTTGATGGATAACATAAAATTGAAATGTTTTGAGCTCATTAAAGCTAACATCTTTAATATTCCTTATGGTGTCAACGACTAGTTGTCTTTTCCAATGTTGCTGAATTCTTGTAATTCCTTAAGAAGGATTATAAGCAGAGTAAACATAGTTTCACCAGATTAAGAAAACCCAGGAGCATGTGTTCTAAAGTTCAACGTAGACGACTACTTAAGAGGTAAACTAGACCTGTTGGTATTAATGGAGAACTATACGAGACTCAAATGATTTAGTTCTCTTCACTTAAAAAATGTTGGTCATTTAGTAAATTGAGGAAGATGCCATGTCAAAGATGGTCGGGATAGCTCAAGAAGTAGAGTAGAGGGCTGAAAATCATAGTGTCACCCGTTCATATCTGATTCCTGCTGACACATGATAAATTTGTGTATCAATATCTATAACAATTGGAGTAAAGGAAAGGTCAATTGGGATTAGAGAGTTGTTGGTCCTTCTCAGTTTGCTCGCTTAGTAGCCATCTAAAGAGCTTCGGAAGGTTGAGTTTGCTTGTATGCAGTTGGATAAAGTATTATATTGTATTTTCTTTTTTTTTTTTTTTTTTTTTTTTTTTTTTTTTTAGAGCTCGAAGGTTGAGTTTGCTTGTTATGCAGTTGGATAAAGTATTATATTGTATTTTCTTTTTTTTTTTTTGTTTTTTTTTTTTTTTTTTTTTTTTTTTTTTTTTTTTTTTTTTTTTTTTTTTTTTTTGTTTTAGGTGAAATTTATTTGTAATTTCCTTTTCTTATTCTATTTTTATATATCTAAATTAGTAGTTATCAAAAATTCATTTATAGATGATAAAATTTTGATTGAATTGTATTTCATTTTATGGAATTAATTTTTAAATCTCAAATTTTGGCTCATACAAAATATAAAAATATGAAATTCTAAATGTGAAATTTATTTATATCAAATAATCACTTAGTATCAAACTATAACCAATATTTATATATATATATATATATTTTTTTTGGCATCATAATTTTAGAATCAATCGAATTTGATAGAATTATGGTGTCAAGTTATAACCAATAATTGTAAGATAATATATATTTTTTTAAATGTAGTTAAAAGTTTCATTAAGATTGTATTAATAAACTATGGATAGACATACAAGAGACTATTGTTATCCAGACGCATTTCGTGCTATTGAAAACTGATATTTTATTTTTCAATTTATGCGTTAAGAATCTCTATTAACTAAATATCAAATCCACAAAGTCATATAAGAATGGCAAATTAACTACCTAATTGATTAGTATTAACATTTTAGCGTTTTTTGGTCTGAGCCCAAATAAGCTCAAATCGAACATTTTCACTCATTGATTCTAACCTCTTACCTAAATTATTTTTACCTTTTCAACTTCTAATAATTTCATTATATATAAAACACATGTATTATTTAACAAAAGTTAATAAAATAAAATATAACATTGTCTCTATCAAGTTGTAGAAGTAAGATCTTGGATATCATTATCTATAATATTGTTAATCAAAAAAAAAAAAAAAAAAAAAAAAAAAAAAAAAAAAAAAAAAAAAAAAAAAAAAAAACAATGATATATATTTGTGCACGCGCAATCTTACTTTATCAAAGGAAATTTGCGTTGTTTGTTGCATATACCACATGTATAGATGTCATCAACTGCAATAACTTATCTTAACATGAAACATAAAATCATCCAAAAAAGTTGCTGCGTCTATAATTTTTGCTCTATAAAAGAATCCTACACAAGTGAAAAAAAAAAAAAAAACCTTTAGTGTGTATATATGTGTGTGTTGTGACAACTATAAAAAAAATAAAAAATTTTAAAACATACTTCTATATCATTCATTGTCTCGATCAAGTTGTAAGAAATCTTTAATGTTCATCATATCCATGAACATCTCTTCTATCAATAAGAATCTTATTTGTTGAAGTAAGATCTTGAACATCATCATCTTTAGTATTGTTAATCTCATAAAAAAAAAAAAAAAAAAAAAGCTATAGTTTATTACCATCCTAACTAACTGTGGTTTTGAAAAGGTAGCGGTTTCTTTTCATAAAAAAAAAAAAAAAAAATAGTGCTCCATACAGTGGCAGATGTATTAACAAAAAAGGTTTTTTTTTGCAAGTTTCCTTTATATATGTGGTATAATTATTCATTGACCTCTTTTAGTTTATAGGGAAATTGTAAACGTACCCTATATTTTGTATACAAAATTACTTTACATTTATTTTTTAATAAATTAATTGTTATACCATCATATTTTAAGTCTGTTATACTAGATTGTCCTTCTGTTAGGTTTTTGCTACTTTAGACATTAAATGCATATAAACTGACATTTTTGTCCCTATCTTCTCTTCTCCTCCTCAAGCAAACCCAGAAATCTGTTATATATATGCAGAAGCAAATAAAATGAAGTTGAATTAGGTATTGAGGAATAAAAATTGAATTCCCCAAAAATGAAATCCTAGTTGTGGACTTTACCCATAATCCTAATTTTCATAGATCTCAAAAATAACAAAAACTAGATTCTCCAAAAAGGAAATCAAAGCTGTGAACTCAATCCATAATCCTAAATTCCACATATCACAAAAATAAAAATAAAAAATGAAAAAGACAAACACTTATTGAAAAATCAAACTTGAGATTGAAGAACCAAAACTCATGCAATCTATAAACAAATAGAACTTACCGAAAAACAGAGAAATAAAGAATCAAAGAAAAGTCTGAAAAGAAAATTGAAATCGAAGAGAAAAGAAAGAGATAGAGAAACAGAAGTTCGAACATAAGAGGGAGATGAGAGAATCGATTCGAGATGGAGATGTAAAATCAAAGGCCAATGAGAAATGATTGAAGCTGAAAATTGGGTTATGAATTGGAGTTAAAAAGCTCACTAGAATAGTAAGATTTATGAACCGGGTTATGGATTTCGGCAATCAGATATGTATTAAGAGGAGCTACAACCAAAGCTGTTGTGGTGGTTATAGTAATGGAAGTGGTAATATTAAATCCAGATTGAGTTCTTAAAAATCAATATAGATTTCCAGAAAAGCTACATTTTTCCAGTAACCAAATAGTCAAAGAGAGAGATAAATAGGGTATTTTGATGATTTTTTTTTCTCTCCCCTTAGATTGTTAAGTTTTCCTTTAACTTGTACTGTAAAATCTTAAAAATTGGACAAAAAGATAATATAGTGTATCAGATTCAAAATACGAGATGCAGCAATCTATTTTTTAAAATACAAAAGCAAAGTAATTCTTTTGGGTAAAGAGGGAAAATATTGACTCCGAAAAGAAAAATTTCTAGATCCGCCACTAGCTCTATATTGATTCAACAAATAAATGGAAAAAAAAGAAATGCAAATAAACCACATTGATCTATCTATACTAAAAGAGGAAGAAAACTTAAAAGATCTAATATTTATATCAAAATTAAATTGAACATTATTTATTAAGATCATAAATCTAACTCTTATGGTTTATCAGTAAAACATAATAAAAGTGGAAGTTATGAAGCTAGGATAATTAAATAAAGACAACAACTATAATTTATAAAAAAAAAAAAAACAACTAAAAAAAAATAACACAAATGTCGAAAGTTGGATTTAGTGTAAAATTGTTATATAACGCAAAATTGAGAGTATTTTAAATTATTTTAAATTATTCCATAGTACCTTCAATTTTGATTAAGTTCCAACGCCTTTATAAAAATTATAGACCTTGGGTTTGAACCAGAGAACCTGTCCTTCATCTTTGAACCTCTCTTAAATGTGGCTTGGCCACTGCTTCAAGAATCTTGTCCAAGTGAAAAAAATAAAAGAAAAATGAAATTCTTTAATATTATCTAATTCTTATCTTCTTCGCACGCCCCCATCTGCTTCATAAACAAAGGTTACATTTTGTCTTTATTTTGCTTAATAATTCCTTTGGCAAGGCCAAAGTCCTCAAACTTGGTTATGCTTTTCATTTTTTAATATCTTGTTTAAAGAAGCTTTAGCATTGAGATTCATGGTTTTCTAGATGAACTACTGACAAAAAGGGGAATTTGACATACCTGGGCAATCTATATGATGCTTATGCATTTGACAGTTTTTGGTGATAAAGAATGAAGCAACTTGAAGGCAAAAAGAACAATCAATCAATCTCTGAGCTGGGTTTGATTTAGAATTTTAAATCCAGTTTGTTATTGATTTGGAAACTGAAATCTCCACATCTATTTCCATACTTTTCCTTTTAATGATCATTAGATAGAGAGAGAGAGAGAGAGAGGAGGGTGTGAGAGAGAAGGGGCAAGCGAGTCATTTCACGCTTAGGTGCATTTAATCCAGTGGAAATCCACGTGGCATTGTAATTGGCTCATAATCAGCAACACGTGATTGACAATGTGGTGTTGGATCATTCCACGGGGATTTTCGGCTATCATTAAACAAAATATTCATTCCATCCAAAAAGCAAAATACCTTTTGAAAAAATCAAAATACCGTTATATATGTCTTCTCATTCCTACGAGTTACCAAATGAGAATTTTTGCAAAAGATCTCATTTCTACCGGTTAGTATTAAGCAAAGCCCAAGTCAAAGCATGAAATTGAATTTGGAAATTAATCATATATAATTATATTATTGCAAAAAATAAAATAAACAAAGATTACCAGAAGGCAGTGTACCTGTAGAATTGAATACCCATTTACATGAAAAGAAAGAAGCAGAAGAGAAAATAGCTTGTTAGTCCCAATATCCTCTTTGATAGGCGCTTTTGTTCCATGGAGTCTTCTTCTTCCTTCATTAGTTATTGGATTGCAATCCCGAATTCCCTCAAATGCTTCAGAATTATATTAGAGGAACTTGTACCAAGGACAAGAGACTTCAATAATAATGTTCATAACAAAATTTCAGAAAAATGTATCTCGCTTTATTATAATATTTTTTACTTCCAATCAACTTTTTGTAAAGAACAAGCATTTCATATGAAGAGATATATCTAAAATTAAAATGTCTTGAACTTCATAATAAAATTAAAATAATAAATAAGGCTAAATATTTATTTCTGAAGCAAGTTCATTTTAGCAATTTAAGTTGTATTTTCATTGATGAAAGAAGCCATTCTTTTAAGCATACCCACAGCATTTTCACAACTAGACTTTTGCATATGAAACGCATGATCCTCCTCTTTACTCTCCATAATCTCCACTAAACCTTTCCATCCAATCTCTTTCAACTTATAATAATATTGCCATCCTCTATCCCTCAACAAGTCCTTCTCAGCAACCATAACAAGGACTCTGCTACACCCCAGCTTACCCAAGTCAGGATCAACAAGTGGATTAATCAAAGGGTCATCACATCCACTTGTTGTAGGGCAAGAAAAACGCCATAAACCATCAACTGTAGCTCTTTTTTCACTTTCTTTAGCCTCATTGCTTATAGGTTCCTTTCCCCAAAAATAAGGATGCACTAAAACAATCCCTACAAGATTTACACCTAACAATTTCTCTTTCCCATTTCTAATACCCATATGGTGTGCTATATTAGCACCTGCACTATCTCCACTCAAAAACACCTTGCCGAAATCAACATAGCTATTCAACCACTCTTTAGGTTCACTTCCATTAACATGGGAAGCAACCCATTTAAGTGCAGCCCTTGAATCTTCATATGCAATAGGAAGAGGATGCTCTGGTGCTCTTCTATATGTTAGGAATCAGCTCTGATACCACTTGTTGGGCATCAGCTCTGATACCATTCGTTGGACCCTTTCAACCGATTAAGAGAAAATTAACGCAGCGGAATAATAAACTTGTGACACACAAATATTTACGTGGTTCACCCTCAACTGTTTAGGGCTACGTCCACGGGACAAAATCCGAATCATTCTTCCACTATTAAAATAGTAGGTACACAACGCGAGTAATACAAAAATAGTGACACAGCCACGGTTGGCGCATCAGCTGCTGGATACCATTCGTTGGACCCTTTCAAACCGATAATAAGGAAAAATTAACGCAGCGGGAATAATAAACTTGTGGAACACACAAATATTTACGTGGTTCACCCTCAACTGTTTAGTAGGGCTACGTCCCACGGGAAAAATCCGAATCATTCTTTCCACTATTAAAATAATAGGTACACAACGCAAGCTAATACAAAAATAGTGACCACTCAAAGTGTTTCCCAAAAACACTCCATAATAATTTCCTCACTATTTTCTCTCCCCTAAAGTTAGGAAACCCATCTAAAATTAGAAAACTTCTCTCGCTACCATTTTCTCTTCTTCTTTCTTCTGTTAACTGTGTTGTGTGTTCTGCCTCATGCCTCTATTTATAGGCAGGTTAACGCGGTTTATGACCGTGTTGTACAACTTATTTCACAGTCACGCCCATGTTACACCAATCAAGCCATTCACTTTGAACTGGCTGCTCCTTAGTTCTTTCTTACTTTCACACATAACACCGTTTTTGCCAGCCAACTTTACTTCCTTCCGTTTTAACTTTAGTTCGTGGAGGTCCCTACTTGAGTGGGCACACAACCACAACAAATCTCCCCTGCACACTCAAGTGAGACGTTAAGCCATCATCATCCCTATGCAGCTATAATCTATTAGATCTGAGCCCACCATTCTTTTGTACCGCCGCTACAACGGTTGCGCGGACACGCCGCCCGACCTCCTTTTGTCGGAAGACTTTCGACACAGGACACCACCTGCCAGATCTTTTTTCGGTCTTTGGTTCTGTTGTTTTACACAGCAGACTCGTTGCACGGCTCAATTAATCTGACTGCCACGACACGGGCTCCCCTCTGTGCAAAATTGATTAGTATATCCTGATGGTAGACTTCTCGAGTCAAACATTCCCTCAGCCATATCTGCATCGGTATAATCCGACTATACTGCGCTTCTTCATCTCCAAAGCATAAACATACTTTGGTTGTACCCGGAAGATCCATGTACTCATGTCCGAATGTTGCCTTTTCCAAGATCTGAAAGAAAACCTGTACTCACTACTCCGACGGATGTAGCAATATCCTGGCCGCTTGTACAAACTCATGGCAACAGCAGCTTCCAACTGCTGAAGCATTATGAAATCTTTCCATTTCTTCCTTCCTCCATCCACTAACAGGGCCACTGTTTAGAACTTAATTTAAAGTGAATTAGTAAAGAAAGGCCAAAGCTTAAAACTGCTTTTTGCGTTCTCCATTCTAAACCTTTTGAAGTACTTCTCAATGTACTTCTCTTGTGACAACATGAATTTACTTGGTTCTTCGATTTCTGTAATCTTCATGCAAGAATTTGCTTTGCTGGTCCCAGTCTCTCACGCAAAGAAACTTACTAATTTCTAACCAAACAATTATAAAACATCAGACTAGAGCAAAAAAACAATTAGTCATCAAACAGAGGAATTTTTCTTCATAAAAACCACAGTGATCTGAGTAGTCTTTCTCTGGTAGCCTTGCTCCCCATAACAACTCAAACCTTCTGTGTTACACTGTCTAATGCCTTGCTTCAAGCCGTACAAGACTCTTCTTCAGTTTGCAAACACGAATTCCTCTTTTTCTACGAAACCTCTGACTTTGCTTCCATGTATATTTCTAGATAATCGTCAACCTCAGCAAACACTAGCCCACTCTGCTCTGAGTAGGCTGGGCCACCGTGTTATGTCTGTCCAATCCACCGCGGCAAACACTGCCCACTCTACTCTGGAGTCGCTGGCAAACTGTGTTATTGTCTGTCAATCCACCTTTGCAAACACTGCCCACTCTGCTCGAGTCGCTGGCAACTGTGGTTATGTCTGTCGTCCACCTTTGCAAACAACACCTTTGCAAACACTGCCCACTCTGCTCTGAGTCGCTGGCAACTGTGTTATGTCTGTTGTCCACCTTTGCAAAAACTAGCCCACTCTGCTCTAAGTCGCTGGCCACTGTGGACTTTCTGAGATATCATTCACCTCTGCAAACACTAGCCCACTCAACTCTGAGTCGCTGGCCACTGGACTTTTTGAGATATCATCCACCTCAGCGAACACTAGCCCACTCTACTCTTAGTCGCTGGCCACTGCACTTTTTGAGATATCGTCCACATCTGCAAACATTGGCCCACTCTGCTCTGAGTTGCTGGCCACCATGTTATGTCTGTCATCACCTCTTGCAAACACTGCCCGATACTCCTACCAGTTCATTCCTACATCTCTCGACCCCATACAATTACTCTTCTCTTCAACCTACGCTCCTCCCCTCGTCGTTTCACTCCACTACAACTCACTCCTCTCTAATTAGTCACATCTCTCTACCATCTTAATTCGTCGTACTCTATTCTCATCTCCTGTCATCTTCTCCTTACTCTTCCCACTCTACATTCTGGAGTCGATCGTCTACAGCTCTCAACAGTCATCGTGTTATTTTCGGTCTCACTCACCTCTTACCTTTGCAAAAATTGGCCCACTCTGCTCTAAGTCGCTGGCCACTGTGGACTTTCTGAGATGTCGTCCACCTCTGCAAACACTTGCCCACTCTACTCTAAGTCGCTGGCAACTGGGTTATGTCTCTTGTTCACTTTGACTTGTGCAGAATATCTTCACCAACATAAACCGTATACGTGAATAATGATCATGAATAGTAACAGTATACTCGAATAGTAACTGTATGCATGAATAGTAACTGTACATGTGAATAGTACTATGCATGAATAGTGCTGGGATTAACAGTGACGGGCTCAGCAACAGTAACGCCAATAGTAACTATTCACCATCGAGTTACTATTCTACTATTCATCACTAAGTCGATTTTGCAACGTCTTTCCGAATGAACTCGTCGTAATTTCTCTTCTTCGTGGTATAATTTATTTTCAAAAATATACCCACAGATCCGGTATCGCTATCTGACCAGCTGACCTGCCGAAACCTCGGCTCTGGATACCACTTGTTTAGGAATCGAGCTTTTGATACCACTTGTTGGCATCACACTTAGATCACCATCGTTGGGCATCAGCTCTAGATACCACTCGTTTGGGCCCTTTTCAACCGATTAGAGAAAATTAAAATCGCAGCGGAATAAGAAACTTGTGACACACAGATTATTTATGGTTCACCCTCAACTGTTTAGGCTACGGTCCCTGGGAACAAAATCCGAATCATTCTATCCACTATTAAAATTAGTAGGTACACAACTGCGAGAATTACAAAAATATTGGACACTCAAAAGTGGTTTCCCAAAAACACTCCATTAATAATTCCCTCACTAGTTTCTCTCCCCTAAGTTTAGGAAACCATCCTAAAATTAGAAAAACTCTCTCGCTACATTTCTTCCTCTTCTTTCTTCTGTGTGTTGTTGTGTTCTGCCTCTGCCTCTATTTTATAGCAGGTTAACGCGTTAATGAGCCGTTTACACTTATTCAATCACCGTCCATGTACACCAATTCAAAAAGCCATCACTGTTAACTGGCTGCTCCTATTTCTTCTACTTTCAACACCATAACTTACTTTCACACATAACACGTTTTGCAGCCAACTTTACTTCCTTCCGTTTTTAACTTTAGTTCGTGGGTCCCACTTGAGTGGGCACACAACCACAACACTATAATCAACAGAAACTGCTATGATATTTGCTTCTGCAACGAAGTTATTAAGATGATTATGGTATGCAGGAGAGAAGGGAGTTTCAATGCAAAAGCCGCCCCCATGATAGTAAACAAGAAGAGGTAGTTTCTTGCCAGAGTTAATGGCATTTCTTGGGAGATAAAGCCTGGAAGAAAGATTTTTTTCTTGCAAATATATAACGTCTTTGGATTGGACTTGGGTATCTTGGTCTAGACCAGGAGGGACTACGTCGACCCCCAATAGTCTCTCTATGCGACCATCTTTGTATATGCGAAAGAAGGGAGAGAAGTCATAAGCAACTTGTTCAGAAAGGTTTGAATCCATGGAGAGAGATGAAGAAATTGAAAAGTGGCGATTTATTCTTGGTTTGGAAGAGACGAAAATAGAGTGGTTATGCAAAGCAAAGGAAAGAGTACTGTACGGAGAAACGGGAGATAAAAGAGAGAAGATGATTCATATCAATAATTGGTGGATGTAGGTGTGGCTCTTAATATTTCTCTCAGGAAGGATGGAGATGATGGAGATATGTGGCGGATATGATATTAGGTTCTTATGGAAATTATTCTGTTATTTTATTTGGGGAAAATAACTATTTAATCCATCAATTTATTCATAATTATAATTTTATCATTCTTGTTCCATACTATACTGATTAGTCTCTAAATTCAGCCTCATTAAGTTGTTTAATCCATCAGTATTAGTTGTTTTAGATGTTAAATATCATCTAATATTTAATTATTCACATTTAATTTTGTATTAATATTTACTCTTTCACATTTAAAATATTAAATTATTATTTAATGCCTTACTTAATAGTTAAAATAGCACTTTCTAGGCCAAAGACTAAATAGTTTAATGGAGTTAAAATTTAGGGACTAATCAGCATATTTTCATAAATAAGAGGAACCAACTTGAAATGATGATCAAACTGAGGTATTAATATATAGTTATTACCTTTTGTCAATAACTAATTTTATCGTTTGGTTAAAATATGAAAACCTAAAGAAATATTGGACCTTGATTTCTTCCTTAGGATCCAGTTACGCATGGCGATGGGTTCATTTTCAACCGGAATCGAATTGGAACCGCATTGTACTGTAAATGAATCGAAATGAGATCAAAATCATTTGTTTTAAAGTTTTGAATCAAAATCGGTGGTTCAAGGTGGTTCAAGGGCCGAATAAGGTTTATGTGAATGTTAAAATCTAAACTTGAATCGGCCCTGAACCGGTAGTTAATCTGCAGTTTTGGTCCATTCAAACCGCAAATATTCCATTTTTATTTTCAAAATAATAATCACTTGGCCTATTTTATACATCTCTAAAAATCTCAATAATATTTTACTACATTATATACTTTACTTAAGAATTTTTTTTTTAAATATACTTTACTTTTTTTTTAAATATACTTTACTTTAAAAGTTAAAAATCTAAAAATTAAAATGGTAAAAAAAGAGAGAAATATTTAGTCTAAACTTATATTGTTTTTGACTTTTTTTTTTTACCCTTTTAGATTGTTTACTAAGTTTAAAATTATATTCTTTTGAAACATTTTTCAAAATTTTCTTGTAGTTTATTTAATTAATAATATTTAAACAAAATAAAGTGATAATTTATTTGATTATTTTGTAAAATTAATTACTTATGCGTATATGAGTATGAGCATTCTAAAATTTATTTAAAATAAAATTTACCAATATTTTTTAAACTCATATTTAATATTTTTAAAAGAAAGATGTAAGGTTAGAATCGATTTTTTTTAAAAAAATATATATATATATCGCCAGAAACCGTGATCGGAACCGGCAGTTCAAAGGCCAATTCAGGTTCAACATTTTAAAAATTTTTGAACTAGCCATGCCTAGATCTAATTAGTCTCTTACACCACAAAACTCCAATACTCTATTAAAATCTATAGGTCAGTATTAGTATTAGGGCTATAAACTAACTAGGCTGAACCGAATTTTAATTGATTTGTTTATTCACAAGCTAAGTTTCCTCAAGTTTTAACTTATTTCATTTAGAAGACGAACTCGAATCGAGATGAGTTTTATAACATTGAAATGTTTCACAAACGGCTTTAAATTTATATATAAAAGGGAAAATAAGGAGGCAAACATTGAGATTGCAAAAATAATTATACATATTTAAATTTAATAATGACAATTTGCTCTTTAATTTTATTGGCTAAAAAATAAATTATTTTTAAGTAATATTTAAATTTGATTGGTAATTATATTAGTTTTCTACTTAACTCTAAATATTATCAGGCTAAAAAATAAATAAAGAATATTTTTATGTTGATTGGAATAAAGAATAAATAAAGAATATTTAAATTCCCATTTTAGTCAACATTTTATTACCACAAAAAATAATTGTAAATTAAAATTATTTTAATTTTTTTATATATTTATAAGACAGAGAACATTGGGGTAGCAAAGATATCTCTATTAAATTTATAAATTGAGAAAAGTATTTTTAAGGCTTTTAATTTCATTGATTAAAAAAATAAAGAAAAGTTAATTTGACTGCTCATATTTGTTTCCAAATTAAATCTAAATTCTATTGACTAATAAATAAAATAAAAATTATTATTACTACAAAGGATTGTATAAATTTTAATTTAGAAAGTTGATTGTGCAGCAAGAAAGTTAATTTAATTAAAAATTATTAAATAAATATTATATATGTAATTATATTAGTATTAGCTTAAAGGCTTGAACAAACATAAAAATTTCACATTAAATTTTGAAAAATGTAAAGAACATAATGAAAAATAATTTAAATGATTCATATTAATATTATACATGTTATAAAACTAAATTATATTTCATCAATATTAAATTAAATATATATCACCAATCATAATTATGATGTTCTATTCGATCTTAATTAGAAATTAAAATTCTATTATAAAAGTTTTTTCTTATCATACCACAATATATATAATACCACAATATATATATATATATATATATATAATATATATATATATATATATATTTATATATTTACCTTCTTTAGAGGAAAATCACCACAAACTTAATTAGGGATTAAAATTTTATTGTGAAAGGTTTGTCTTATCATGTTACTATATCTAAAAAATCACTAAAAAGTTTATTTATTTTGTTAAATTAATTTTATTTTCCTTTGGTTATTAATATTTTATTTGAATTTTGCTATAAATAATTTTTTGTTCCATAGAAACGACAGTTGAAGACGTTTTGCCTTAGTATTGATAATCATTTTTTTTTTCTATTTAAATGATAATTTTAAATATTTTTAACTAATTTTTGATATTTTAATCAAATAATAAAAAATAAATTGTGAAAATACAATTCATTTTTATATCTCATTCTTTCTTTCAAAATTGTCAAGTACACTTTCGATTTTTTTATTTTTGATCTAAAAAAATATAATATTTTTCAATCAGCAGGTTAGCTGCACATAGGCATAACATGATGCTTATAGTAAATTTGTGAACAATTCATTTTTATATCTCATTCTTTCTTTCAAAATTGTCAAGTACACTTTCGATTTTTTTATTTTTGATCTAAAAAAATATAATATTTTTCAATCAGCAGGTTAGCTGCACATAGGCATAACATGATGCTTATAGTAAATTTGTGAACAATTCATTTTTATATCTCATTTTTTCATTCAAAATTGCTAAATACACATCGATTTTTTTATATTTGATCTAAAGAAATTTAATACTTTTCAATCAGTAGGTTGATCTTCCATATTTCATTGTGACGTCTATCAATTACTTCTATAAGGGATTTAGTGTTCTTCAAGGTAAGTGAGCATGACCGCGATTTAATTTCAAACCGAAAAAAAAAAAAAGATTAAAATCAATATATCAATCACGGTCAAAAGTGTCTAGTTTCAAATCATAATCAAAACCGTAAATTTATAATTCAGTTATGGTTCTTCATATTTTAAAAGCGCAAATAAGCGGTTTGCGTTTGGAACCATGAAAAAATATTTTCAAAGAAACTCTCAATTTGCCATCTTGTTTTATTATAATTTTTGAAAATAAATTTTAAAACTTCTTATTAAATTGGTTTAGTTTTTTTCATTATTATTATTATTATTAGTCTTTTTTTATGATATGCGTTGCATGTTGATTATATACTTATATTCTCATTTTTTGTACTCTTTTATTTTTTGTATCTATATAATATTAAAGCATAAGTTTTTGTTTAGATTAAAATAAATACAATTGATTCATTTTGTATTAGACTTTGTCGTACAAACTACTTATAATGCTATTTCTTGTGTACTTAGTTCAACACAATATCTAGATATAATCCTTTAATCCCTAATTTATAAATACAAATTCTTAAAACCCTAATAAGTGCTCAAAAAAAAAAAAAATCAAGTCATCACTCAGTCTCAACCCCTGCCCTTAATTCCAAATTAATATCTATATACAACTATAACGAAAAATAATAATAAAGTATTTTTACTGCTAGGTAAAAAAAGTGAAATGCAAAGATGATTTGAATTGATAATGGTAATCATTTTGACTATAGTGGCAATATTACTTACCAAAAAAAATATATGCACATACACACAAATTCTTGAAACTCCAAAAAGTAACCTAAAATAAAAATATATAGTGCTAGTTTTTCTAGTTTCATAAACACTATTTTCTTTCAAATCAAATAGATTTAGAATGTAATAGAAAAAATATCAAGAAAACTAAAAATGCTTAATCATCAAGAGGCCATCTATGTATAGCAAGTAGATATAAATTTCTTACCAAATTAAGTAATAGTAGTTACAAATTTAATTCAATAATGAAAAAAAAATAAAAAAATAAAAAATTATTATTAAGAATAAAACTCTTTCAGAACTCAACATATAACAAGAAATAAATTATATTAAAAAAAATTACCAATTTGAATTTCAAAAATAACCCTTCTTTAACTCGAAAGGCCATCATTTGATGAAATTCGATGTGATGGACAAAAAAAAAAAAACACTAAAGATTTATTATTTTTAAAAAAAAAAAAAAAAAAAAAAAAAAAAAAAAAAAAAAAAATTTTTTTTTTTAAATTTTTTTCTCTTCCTCTTT